CTTTTGGCCAGCGGGAGAGTTGTGAGGTTCGAACTCCAGCAACCTGAGGCTGACAGCTTTGTGGAAGCAGCCACTTAAAGGACTGAGCTAGGGCCAGGGCCCCTAGTTTTAGTTTTTAAAGACAGTACAAATTAGAATTAAAACAGAAAAATGTGACAAGTGATACAGAATTGCACTTAACAAAGTAATATAAAGTATTTCTATCTAACTCAGCTGCCTATAACAGTATGGGATGCATTTAACAAGGATGAGAATAGAAGACTCAGAGCTGAGGAACTCTAGCGCATCGGGAAGTTGGAATCTAACCTCTGATGGTGAGGGTATTTCACACATTAATTCAAAGGAGCTCGGCATAGTGGGATTACAGGGGAGAATGCTCAGTTTGAGTCAAGGGTAGGAGGTGCATCCAATGTTGTTGTGTTTGGGTTGTGAGCTTAGCATTTTTAAAGAAGCCATTTGCTCTTTCTATTCTTTCTGATGACTGGGGATAATAAGCAATATGAAAATATCAGCTTATGTTGAGTGGGTTTTCTGGGTGGTGATAAATCTGAGAAGCAGATTCTGATTTATTATCTGAATGCAAGGAGTCTGGAAGCCCAAATCTTGGGGAATGATCTCAGTTACTTAAAAGAATGTTGGAGGAGTGGCAAGATAGTTCAGAGGACTAAGCGCCTGCTTTGGCAAGGGCATGCCGTGCCGGGTGATGCATGCCTATAATCCCAGCACTGAGGAGGCTGAAAACAGGAGGATCTCTATGAATCCGAGCTGCATAGTGAAACCCTGCACCAAATACATAAATGAAACTAAGAACATTGGCCACAGTGGAAGCCCCTTTCCAGGTGAAGGGAAAGGCTTCTAGCTGTCCTCTAAATGCATCCACTGGAACCAGAAAATAATAAGTCCTTTTGATGAGGGCAGAGTTTGGAAGGGAGCTGTGGAGAAAGGAACCCAGATATTGTATTAAGGTAGAGTATAGGATCTGAGTTTAAGAGGGAAAATAGAATGAAGAGCCCTGTGGTGTAAGAGATCCTGTAACACACTGGAGTGTCAAACCTGGAGGAAGTGATAGAAATCTATTTTTTTAAGCTTCAAGAATTAGGAGAGCAGCAGCATCCAGAACCTTGAGGCAAAGTGGTCAGCTCTGACAGGTGGGGTCAAGCAGTTCAGAGAAGTAGGATACAGGGAGCAGGGAATCTCCTGCAAGTTGTGCCAAGAATACTAACGCCTAAGACCTTGTAGTGTGGATATGAAGATGGAAATGTTTATTAGGGTTGGGAAGGTCTGAAGTTGGGGCCTAAGCTAGGATGGTGTTCAGCTTCTGGAATGCATGCGTTAATGAAGAATCAGGAGTGAGAGGCTCATCAAGTTTGTCCTTGGAGGTATAAAGTGGTCTTGCTATTGGTAGCAAGTGGTGAATCCAGAGCCCAAAATAGCTTGCTAGTCTCAAGAAAGAGAGAAGTTCCCATTTAGTCTTGGAGAAAGGTAAAGAAAAAATTGTGTTTCTGTCTTCAGGGATTTCTTAGGTGGTGGAAATGATATGGAGTCCTAAGTAAGTTATCACTGGGTACACAAGTTGAGTGTTCTATTTAAAGACCTACAACACTTGTCTCCCAGAAAGTTAAGAACAGTCTGAGTGTGGGGCTGATGCTGACAACTGGGGCTTCCAATGCCTCTGCTTAACCATTACCACCTTGGAGCTGGTTCTGCACTGTTTCTCCTCTGTGTGGGACAGCATAAGGGCCAATCAAACAAACAACCTGTTCTGGACAAGACAAGTCTAGTATAGGAAATTCAACATGGATAACCACAGAAAGACTTACATCACAGAAGCTGAGAAAAGGTCCACCAAAAAGGAATAATCTGAAAGATCCAGCATGGCTGAATTGAAGGAGATCCACATCAGAGACATTCAGAGAACATTCACAGGAAACAGAGGAAAGAAGACAAGAAGGCTGAGCATGTGAGTTTGAGAATCCTAGTTTTCCTAGGACAAATTGTCTGAAGTCTGGAGTTAGAGGCAGCAGGAAGAACATGAGTCTCTAGTTGCCAGTAGTAACAAGTGGTGAGTCACTACATTGCAAGCATCCCAGGATACAACCACACAGTGTAGACCTGGCTCAGGAAGACACTGGGGGCAAGGGTTAAGATTTTGAACTTCAATCTCAGAGCAGCTCCCAGGCAGCTTTGTAGTTCTAAGGTCCCAGAGTTAATGAGAGAAAGGTAGTCACTGGAGACTGGTGATTGCTGACACAAGACCTGTGATAAGATATCAGATTCAACCTGAGTTACACAGGCCTGGAGCCTTTCATTGGTGTTGTGTTCCCACTAAAGGGAGACCCAAAGCAGGGCCTTACATTAGTGCTGTGTTCCCACTAAAGGGAGACCCAAAACAGGGGCTTACGATATGTTACATCTCAACCAGTAATGATAAACACCACTGAAATTGTATGGATCTGTTGGTCTTTTGGTGGTCCCAGGGAGAAAATGGCAAGAGAATTCAGAAAATGAATAATGGCTGAGGTCATGTGGTGGGCTATGCCTGATAGTCAAGGGCCCCTGAACAATAGTAGGTCTATTTATTTATGCCTTTGCAAAGTTACAAGGCACAAGGTTACCTGGCAACTAATAGCCCACAATGTCCAGGCAGGACATTTTCCTCAAGACTGAGGTAGCTTGACTGCTTTAGGCAATGAAGCCTCATCCTGCCCTCCCACACAGGATAAATTTCCAGCTTTAGCTGCTCTCAACAGGGGTTTATGGTATATCTCAACTAGCACTGATAGACACCACTGAAACAGGTTAGTCAGATGTGTTAACTGATTATCTAGAAAATAATCCTGACTTAGTGGACAGTTTAATGCCAATGAACTTCTTTGCCAAATCAACCATCACACCCAGGGAGAGGGACAGTAAGAGTTCCTAATCTAATAACTTGGGCTGGATCAAACTTTGCAAAAATGCCTGAAAATAAACACAAATAGGTCCTCAATCAGAGTTAACTTTAGTTTTGCAGTGGAAGGATCATAGAATTAGTTGGGTATGAATAATCAGACAATCTTGTATAGAAGCTACCTGGGATACATACAATGGCTTACTGGAATAGCTAAGCTGTATTCCTATCAGACATCTTACTAGTTTAAGTATTTGTATGTTTCTTGGGTTAGTAATGTGTTGCTATGTTCATTTATGGTTTCATGTGTATATTAGGTAGTTACTCCTGGATACTTGTGCTTTTATTGGCTCTAATTTAAAGGGGTTATCTTAGTTGTTTTTCTCTTGTTGCTGGGACAAAAATACATAATGCTCAAAATTAAGGAAGGAAATGTTATTTAGCTCACAATTTGTGGAGATTTCATCCCATAATCAGCTGTCTTCAAGTCAGGGTGCCATGGCGGAGGGTCAACAGTTCACGGTGGCAGAGGACAGCAAAATCAGTAATAGCAGAAGGGGGCTAAATAAACTTCTTTTCCTCCCTTATACTGTATGCAGGCTATCCTACAGGGCAGGTATAGCACTTACACTAGCTATGTGTCATCCTTTTGCACAGGTTGAGGATGTTTCCAAAGTAAGGACTCTAGACCACCACCCCCCGCCCCTGTGCTGAGTCACTAAGTTAAACTTCTAAATTTCTCAGGTTAATATGATGTGTCAACCATAACAACAAGGAATAAGACAGACTAGGCTTATTAGTCTCCCTCTCCCAGTAGCCCACAGTCATTGCCAGAATTGGGGGAAAACCCATGACTTTTGTAGTAGACAGTGGAGCTGAACATTCGGGTGTGACTCAGTCTGTTGCTCTCTTAATCTCCCAGCAAATCCAAGTCATTGGTGCCACTGGATCCCCCACTGAAAAGAAATTCTGTCAAAGCAGGCCCAGTGAGATTAGTGGACAATTTATTAAAAATTATTTCTGTACAAGTCTGTATGTCCTATACTTCTACTGGAGCATACTTCCTTTCCAAAATGGGAGCAACTATCTCTTGCTCCCAAACAGCCAGCTTCCTCTACACGTGGGTCCACTGTCTTGGACTTGAAGTTGATGCTGATTGTACTCTGGGAGGAAGAATGGTGTCTACAACAGCCTAAATGCCTGATAACCAGAACTCTGAAATTTTGAGAGACTTGTTTCCAGAAGTATGGGCAGAGGACTCAAGCCCCAGGGTTTTCTATCAATCATGTCCCTTTGGTGATTGAGCTCTGTTCCAGTGTAATCCCCAAAGCTGTTAAATAGTACCCAACATCACAAGATGCTCAGCTTGGCATTCAGCCCCACATCTCTTACTTGAGAGAGTTTGGAATCTTTATAGACTATCAATCACCTTGGAACACTCCTCCCTTTCTGGTAAGAAAGCCCAATGGAGACTATTAGCCGGTACAGAGTCTTTGTGCTGCCTAATCTGCCATGATGGCTCTGCACTCAGCAACCCTTACATGCTCCTGGGTTTGCCTCC